AATTTGGTATCAAGCACGTATATTGCAAGCATAAAAACTTGGTAGAAGTTCCTCCATATTGCTCATATGTGTGTGTGAATATGTGTATACAAAGAACTTATAAATTTAATTTACATTCCTTTTAAAATCTAAAATGTAATAGATATTTAACTACATGGACTCATGTTCTCCGTTCATGGAGTATGGTATAGAACATTCTAGAAAACCAAAAAAAAAGAGAAAAAGAAAAAGACAAAATGTTTGTATGATATATGGAATATTTAGAAGAAAAAAGAAAGAACGGAAAAAAAGATGCATCTTATTAAATTACCTTTTTGCCTTCTAAGTATGGTAGAAGATAAGAATATATCCACTGCTCATCCAAATTTTAGATTACTACCACTTGGTTTTTTATTTAGTAATATAGATAGATAATATACAGGTACATCATCACACCAACAAACTGTAGATAAGAAGTGATATAAAAGATAATGAAGAAACAATGAAGGGGGGAAAAAGAATACAACAGGATCTTCATTAGTGTGCAAAGAATATTGTTCTCACTAAAAAGTATGCACTGTTCTCACTAAAAAGTATGCAAAGGGTATCACGATACAACGAGCTTATTATGTGTAAAAGCAAAAATGATGCTCCCTTGTTCAAAAGGCCAAGCAATAATAATGATAAGATAGGACATAACTCTACAATAATAAATGTTACATCCTAAGAATATTCACCAAAAAAAATCATCATTGTATAGATAATGATCCAAAGGCAAGAGATATACATACCGGAGCAACCTCCTGTTGCGAACTTATTTTACCTTATTACACAAGTAATTTGACTATTAACATCTAGACAAGTTACACTCAAAATGATACATAATATGCATGCCTTTTCCCCAAATTCTCTTCAAAAATGTATCAACAAACTCGAGAACCCAGAATTTGAACTAAAAGTACTCAAAATCAAGATACGAGGAATCAGTTGAAGCAGACTTACTTCCTCCACCTCCACCACCACCACCTCCGGTGACACCATTTTCAGCACTCCTCTTCTCCTTGACGGCAAACTGTGCAAAATCTACGGGCTCTGGCACATGCGGTGGAGCTGCACTCCTAACCAAAGCCCAATTCACCCCCTCAAAAAATGGGTGCTGTTTGATCTCAGTAGCACCTCTCCTATAAGCAATTCTCCTCTGTGGATCCTTCACCAATAGACCTCTGATGAGATCTCGAGCAGTATTACTCACAACCGGCGAATCTGGAAACTTCAATGGCTGCCCAACTACATTATATAATGTCGCTCTATTCCCCGAACCTTTGAATGGTGTCGTCCCATGTAAGAGTTCGTACAAGAAGATACCAAATGTCCACCAGTCTACTGCACTTCCATGTCCCTCGCCACGAATGATCTCCGGGGCGAGATATTCGTGGGTCCCGACGAATGACATTGATCTGGCACCGGTGGGCTCTGCCATTAGCTCGCTGCCGACGCCAAAGTCTGACTTTGACTTGCGATTGCGCTTTGGGAGGATTCTAGGAAAGAAGGACGAAGGCTGGATACATCCCTGCACAACCTGATCGTTGTCGAGCAAGGCAGAGTTGATAGAGGAGGAGCTGACTAGGGTTGGGTTGCTAGAGCACCGGAGTGAGAGATCGAAGTCAGAGAGCATTATGTGGCCTTCATCTCTAACAAGCACGTTTTCTGGCTTTAAGTCTCGATAGATTACCCCCAGCATGTGTAAGTATTCGAGAGCGAGCAGCACCTCAGAAGCATAGAACCTACATGAAATGCAAACAGAAGCTTGTGATATCATGATGTTTCCTTATTGTGTTTTTGTAAAAAATAGCAAAAGTGTTGTGTTTTCCCTTTAAAGCATTTCAAAAGACCATGCTGAGTGCTTTCGGTCAACACTTGTTTGACCCATTATAATATTAGTATTACATATCTTGTTAATAATAAATATAATACAATAATATATTATAATATTATATTATACTTTAATGTACTATATTACATTATAATTATTACATATTATTTTCAAATAAAAATATTTATTTTGGTATATCAATTTGGTATAAGTATATATTATACAATAATTTAAAATAATATTATATTATTATTAATATAATATTACTATTATTAATATAATATTATATTAATAATATTATTAAAATTATGTTATTACTAGTATATTACTAATAAATTAATATATTTTAAATATTTTAAAATTAACTAATATTATAGTTTCTAATATTTTAGAATTTATTAATAATTACTTTAATAATATAATAATAGTTTATGATAAAAATAAATATTATTATGTTATGAATATATTATTATTACAATAATATTTGTTAGCAATAAATTAGTTTACTATTAATAAATTATTTTACATTATAATATATTATTTTATTTATTATATATTCTATTAATATTTTATATAGAATAACTTGTTTATCATTTTTATTAATTTATTTATATTTTATTCTTATTTATTATTATATTATTATATAATACATTATCAACATATTAAATATTAACATTTAATATGTTATTATATTATTATATAAGATGTTTTAATTATTAATATATTTCATATTCTTTAATAAATATTTTGAATATATTAGATTAACTATAATATAATACAATATGATATAATATAATATAATATAATAAGCATGTCAATAATAACTCTATATTAATTGTATTTAATATATTATGTTAGATATTATATTGATATCTCCTCAAACTCAAAACCAAAATACCAAACTTAAAATACCTAAAAGATGTTTTGAAATAAGTGTTATGTTTTTGGTTTGAGGATGATTTAGTTCAAGAAACACTATGTTTCCAAATACATGGTGTTTTATTTTTGGCAAATACGCCATTGAAACAAGGAAAACACCATGTTATCCAAACAAAACCTAAGCAATTACAATGACTTTAAAGATTTTCTTATAATAAGATATCGATTATGAAGACATTTCCTAGGGTTGATTGCGGGGGCATCACCTGTACTATAAGGAGGTGAGCTATTTATTACTCTTTTTCTGTTTTATTAGCACATATGCCTCCTCAACATGACGAGGATTCTTTTTCGTTAGTTTTTATACTCAGACAGGGAATCCTATGAGAATGTTATTAGCAAATGTCTAACTTTGACCACCACATAATCTTCACCAGGGTTTAAAACCTTACATAAAAGTAACATTGTCTCCGTGATCTAGGGTGTATATGCAAGTATAAATAGAACATAGGTGATAAGTAGCTAATAACCGCTTGGAAAATAAGAATATAAGCAGGCTTGTAAAAGAGAGCGTGGATGAAAACATTTCAAAGAGAAAGTACCGCACAAAACACCAAGAATATTATTCCCGTTATCCTATGTTGCACGGGCACGGGTGGAGGTGCAGACACGGACACGGGTGTGGATACAGGAGACACGACAAATTTGTAAAATATAGGATACAAGAACACGGTTACACATATACTTATTGAAATTAATAATATATATGAGATCGAAATTTTTTTATTACATATTATGAGAACTAAAGTCTATATAACTTTTTTATGTTTCTTTATTAAGTAGATTATAAATTTAAAAACTGCTCACTTTAGGACTAGATATCCAAATCATTGTTTAAAGTCATACTTATGACCATGATATGGGCCGAAATGAACCCAATCAAATTCCAACATACTGCAATAATTTAATGTGAAGTGTAAGATATACATCCAAGGAGTGTACTACGAACGTTTTAAACTAAAACATGTATTGAATAATTGGGCACATGTCTGCATAAATGTATGTATATACTCAAGAAGTGTCCAATGAGTGTCCGACACAGGCATGGGCACGGACATGGATACGGGAGCAAAGATGAAGTGCCCGGGTAACTTAGCCGTTATCTCTCTAGCTATATGGTTCTTAGACAGTAAGAGGAAACAGTGTAATACTTCTTGCAGAAATATTATAGTTGAACTTAGCAGCAAGATTGTACTCTGAAAACCATGATCTAAATCAAACTTCATTGAATTAGAGAGTAACGATTTGTCTTTATATTAGTTTGAAAGCAGTTTGAGACTTGATGGCAAAAACAGTGAAGCAATTGGAGCATAGAAAAGATGCACATACAAATAAAGCATAAAGCACTTGCTCAGGAATGATAGAACTCACCTGGCAGCTTGCTCAGTGAAATACTTATTAGGCTGCTTCTGCCTGAGGGAGTGAAGATTACCACCACTGCAATATTCCATTACCAAGCAATAAAACTTCTCTGTCTCAAAATGAGAATATAGAGTCGGTAAAAAGGGATGATCCAAAAGGCCAAGTATCTCTCTTTCAGTCTGTGCACGAAGTAACTTGTTTCTACTTTCAAGTGAGGCCCTGTCCATGACTTTCATCGCAAAATATGCACCAGTCCCTTTGAGCTCAACAAGATAAACGCTTCCAATATCACCATAACCCAATCTCTTAAGTAGCCTGAAATGGCTTAATCCGAGAGGGGCATCTCTAGCATTTGCCAATTGTATAGCTTCCCATCGACAATCACCTCCAGTGTGAGGCCTTATAGGGGCAGTTGAGGTACTATCTATACTATCACTTCGAGTACTACTGCAGCTACCGTAACTTATTGAGTTAGCAGAATCACTAACTTTTGCATCACTTAGTTTTGTTATTGTCGAGTTTGATGTTGTTTCTGACACCCCTGGCAATCTTGTAGGAGATGGACACTGGTTCTTTGTAACATTATTGGTACTGTTCTTGGTAATCGACTCTGGTCTTTTCTTGGTGCGCGATGGTTTTTCTGCTGTTGCTTCTGAATGAAGAGGTTTAGGAATTGAGCATGGGCTTGGATGTTCATCAGGTTGTGCACTGGGATTCAGGCTTGTTGTGTGATCTTTGTTATCCTTAGAGTTAGAGTCCAATTTTCCATCACTGGTTGAGGAATTCTCTGATTTTACTGCGTTCAGCTCTGGAATTTTAAGTGAAGAGCAATTATGTTAGAATGAAATTAATACAATGGAAATAGCTAGTTTGTGGAATGCACGATGATATAGTTGATCCATTGTCATACAAAAGCCAAAAGGAATTACAATTTAGCATCATGAGATCTTAAAAATAGCTACATTATCAAATTACCTTAACTAAGGATAAATTTCAAGCTGCTACTATGAAATTTCTCAGGAAACTACTGTGGAACACTATTTATTATAAGAGTAATTATAACTGTAGTACCATAGATCTTTTGTACTATTATAAAATGTGTATTGCCCTTTCTTGTGAATTGCCTTAAAGAATTATAACTCTCCAAAGATACATTCTCGTTTGTTGTAGTACAGAAGTAGTACACAGATTGTAGTATAGTTAGCATTACCCTTATTTTAGTTACCTATCATGAACTTGGATTTCTTACCCCATAATTAATACAATGAGGGTGTTAACAAAAGAATTAAATTTACGCTTCTACCATTTTAGAAAAGAAACTAATTATAAAAAAAACTCTGTTACAATGCAAAACAAAACGGCTCTTTTGTAATATCCATGTCTTCTCCTCCTGGCCCCTTTCTCTAAATCCACTAGCTCCCATGTTAGAAGATCCATACTATCTTCTTTCAGTGGCTTTTTAGCCATGCAATCAGCTCCATGACCACAGAAGATTATCAAGCTAGACATATGTCTATCAAGCTTGAACCGAAATAATTCTTATACTAAGAAGAGAAGCTTTACATTGCCAATCTTTGTGGAGTGGAATCAGAATCAACATTTCACTTCTTATAATAATAATAATAATAATAATAAAAGAATCATCATTTTACAATTGACCAATAGTATCCAACTTTACCATGCTTAATAAAGGCCATGTGATACAATTTCGTATCCAACTCCTAATAAATTAATAAATTCTCCCTACTAGGGAGAATTAGATAAAATGATAACGACAAAAATAGAATAATGAACGCTGAACTTTTTGAAGTTTTACTGCAGATACCTTGATTCCTAGAGGAGTGTGAGTCACTGGCTTCATCAAAACTGATTTTCGTAGAGGATAATTTTAAGGTGGTGGTTGTTTCTGAGCTTACTGAGCTTGGAGACAGGCTATGTTCATCATTCTTGCTCTTATCTTTTCCCACCAATTCTAGTTTTTTATTGTCGTGTGATGATCTTGATGTTGTTAATTCTTCATCTAAAAGAGGTTTAGTTGAACTTGGACCAGGATGTTCACCAAGGCCAACATTGGCCTCCAAGTTTGTAGAATCATCACTATTGCCATAGAATGAGTCTGTGCTTTTCTTCTCCGTTGAGTCCTTCTCAGGTTTCATGGTACTCATTGCTGGAAGTCAATGTGATTAGCAATTTAAAATCAACATGATAAAGTGAAAACATCTGACTATAAGAATATAGAATTACACAGAAACACGAGTAAAGGATTAAAAAAATGACCAATTAAAATTAAAATTCTAGGGGTTCCAGTGCTACGTATAAATGTCTGTGGATTACGAAGATGAAGAAGTTTGTATAAGATGATAAGTATTACGTTGGGATTCATTTAGTAGCATATTGTTTAAAAGGAGAGTAAATAAGAAGATAATTTTGGTTTATTAGACATTTGGAATTTTCTCCCTCTAACAGCTAGCTTTCAGGGGTGGGTCTCCTAGACGGTCATGCAGACTGGCCTTGCACTAGTCTAGTCCTGGTCATATGTTGCGATTCTGATCTCACCAATTTGGCTTTGCTCTAAACTAGTTACAGGCAAACACTAAAATAGCTTCTAAGGATGGGCTAGATCTAACATATTACATTAAACCGATGTTAACTAATCACATTGACCACTAGAATCACATTCGACGAGAGTAGTAACCCAATTTCCCCATTCCTCAACACAACAAGTTTGACAAATGCAATCATCATCAATGAATGTTAAATTGTTCATGGGCAAAACAATTCATGCACAAAACAATATACGGCAAAAAAACGAATGTGCGAATGCAATGGATGAAAGAGAAGGAGGCAAAACCCATTATGCGTGAAGACTGCACAATGCTTTTGAATTACACATCAAAACGCATATCAAATTCACCAGACATGATCAACTAATCAACAACACATTGAAAGTGTAGACAAATTCTACACAATTAGTGAATAGATAAACAACCAAGGGAAAACGACATACCAATGGAGAAGCTGAAAGAGCCCAATCTGTTATCTGTCCACCATGGATGATCAAATTACTGCAGGAAAAGAGTTGGGAAAAGAGAAGAGGGTGTTGGGGTCCAAACCCATTAAGGGGAATGAAGGGTTTGAGGGGCTGAGAGAGGAAAGCGTTAGGAAGAAGGAGAGGGAGAGGAGAGGAGAGAAAAGGGGAAGGGAGAGAAGAAGAATCCATAAATAAACAACAGAAAGCAAAACCAAGGATTGAGACCAAAATTAGAAAAAATTAGGGAGATGAGGTAGCGGGGAACGAAGAAGGCGGAGATTATCACACCAGGGATTGAGGTTTGAGATGAAGCTTGTACCTGATTCTATTTGCCAAATAATGTTAGAGGCACACCACCCACCACAACCCCAACCACACTCCCCCTCTTATTGCTACAGTATATCAGGCCCCACATTGGATTTTAAAAAATTTAAAATCTCATGTAGGGCTTGGTTTACTATAGCAATAAGAGAGGGGAGTGTGGTTGGGGTTGTGGTGGGTGGTGTGCCTCTAACATTATTTTTTTAACAAATGATATTACCAAGCAAGAGAAGTTTAATAACCACCAAAATTTTACCAAAAGTAAGAGTTATCAAAGATTGCATAATTACACCTTGTATAAACTCTGTCGTACTATGAATTCGTCAAATTCTTTGAAGCTGTACAACCTTCCGTTGCATCCTAAATTGTCGCCCATATAAGGCGTAAATTCAATATTATTTTTTTTTTCAAGGGTAATTTCACAGACCCTCTTTTAACTTTGAGGGTTTGACTTTGGCACATAATCTTTGGGTGCCATTTGGCAAAGAGCCAAGTGAGAAGGGTTAAGAAGAAAGATTAACTTAATTAATTCATTATGAGGGGTTAAAATTAAGTTAAATCTGTTTGGAATAGATAGTTTAGACGAAGGGTTAACTTTTTTTATGTTTGACAAATAATAAAAGGTTAAATAGATTAAACCTCCAACTTTTTTGTGTTTGACAAATAATGAAGATTTAAATGTTTGACAACTCACCTCCGTTTGGATATCGTGGTGTTTTATTTGTTTCCATGGTGTTTTTGCTAAAAACAAAACACCATGCGTTTGGAAACCATGATGTTTTTTGAGTTAAATCATCCTCAAACTAAAAACACAACACTTATTTTAAAACACCTAAAAGGTGTTTTAAGTTTGGTGTTTTGGTTTTGAGTTTGAGAATGTGTTAATATAATATCTAACATAATATATTAAATGTAATTAATATAGAGTTATTATCAACATGCTTATTATACTATACTATGCTATACTATAGTATATTATACTATAGTTAATCTAATATATTAGTAATATTTATTAAACAATATAAAAATATAATAAATAAAATATCTTATATAACAATATAATAACATATTAAATACTAGTATTTAATATGTTAACAATGTATTATATAATAATAAAATATAATAAAATATAAATAAACTAATAAAAAATAATAAAAAAGTTATTGATAATAAATAATAATATAATAATATACTACACAATAGTATAATCGCTATATTAATATTATTAACTTTTTAATAATAAACTATAATAAATTAATAATTATAAAATATTATATAGTAGTAACATATTTAATAATAACATAACAATATAATAATANAATTGATACACCAAAATAATTAAATATATAATTATTTGAAAATAATATGTAATAATTATAATGTAATAATAATTATAATATAATATAACTTATTAAAGTATAATATAATATTATAATACATTATACAATTTTATATTACATTATATTTAGTACTTCTAATACTATAATAATGTAAACTAAATATTATAATATTTTATTTACAATATATTTTATTATAATTAATATATAATATATTAATACTATGTTTAATACTAATATTGTAATAGGTCAAACTAGCGTTGACCACAAATACTTAACATGGTGTTTTGAAAACGTTTTAAGGGAAAAACACAACACCATGGTGTTTTTTATAAAAACACAACAAAGAAAACACTATGATACCCAAACGAATCTTGTTCCTTATTGAAATTAATGGGATCATTCTATTTGCACTATTATATATTGTATGAATTCTGTTTAATGGGGACAAGAGGTGATGATCGCCACAATGCGCCCATGGTTTATTATCTCTACGCATGGTAGAGGAGATTAGAGAAAGAGAATATTTGTAGGGGATAGAGATTAGTTGATTCTTATTTCTACGCATGGTAGAGGAGATTAGAGAAAGAGAATATTTGTAGGGGATAGAGATTAGTTGATTCTTATTTTGTATGCAGAATTTTGACCAAACTGGCCCTCCATCATTAATAGATGATAACTTATCTTTGATTAGATCTTAATCAATCAAATACGTTCAAAGGTTAAAAAGTTGGATGGACAAAAGTTAGTGGATAGTAGTTCATATATAAGTATTTATAAGATGGCACCTTAGATTCAATCTAATGTAGCGGCTTTTGATTCATGAATTAGAATATTCTATTTGATGATCCTCTCCATTCATCGTGATCTAAATGTCTCAAAACATCTATAAAACAAAAATCATTATGATTAAATACTTCTAACACATATTTTTCATTGTTTCTTTAGTTATATTGTTGTAGAACCGTTAATTTTATAATCACTTGATGCATGAGTATATGGCTTATTTTTTAGGGAAAAATGTGTCCAGACCCCAAAAACATAAACTTCATGTGATGCAGCCCCTTCTAGTTTCCCCCATGTGGTTCAGCCCCTTGAAGTGTGACGTTTTGTACTGCAGCCCCTTTTTAACAATTATTACATGCCAACTAAGCTAAATTCCCCAAAATAACCTTACCCCCTCTCCTCAATCCTTCAAACCCAGTTCTCTCTCTCTCTCTCTCTCTCTCTCTCTCTTTAAAAACAAGGGTTTTCTTAAGCTCGTCGCTCTGGCCCTCGCCCTCCTCGCCGTCGCCACCTCCGCCCAGGCTCCCAAGCCTCCCCCGAGTTCGTCGCCGCCTCCCCTCCTCTCCTCCGCCCGACCTCGTCGCGGTAGCTCGCCGTCGCTCCCCATCTCGCCCTCGACTACGCCGGAGTTCGTCGCTGTGCCTGCCACTTTTGAACCCATAGTATGGTAGGCCGGAGGAGGATGACCAAGAGAAAAGAGTGCATGATGCTCAAGAAAAGTAAAAATGAAGGGGACAGAATAGAACTAATATTGTGCAGATTAGAACTAACACTATAGACAGAATAGAACTAACATTGTAGACAGAATAGAACTAACATTGTAGACAGAATAGAACTGTAGACAGAATAGAACTAACATTGTAGACAGAATAGAACTGTAGACAGAACAGAACTAACATTATAGACAGAATAGCATATTCTTGTACTTTAACTTGGAACTAGATGCAACTTATGACTCTGTCTAGTTTCTGGTATTGGTTTATGATTCAACAAATGAGCATGCTCATATTCTTTACAGAAATTTACACCCTGTCATTAGATTGAAATAGAGCATTCTGGCTGTTTCGTCATTGGTTGACAATAACAGTATCAGTTTCTTAATGTGTTCCTCTGCCTGTTTAAGCTCTCGAGCTGGACTTCTGGATTACTATAGACATGTAGTTCGTTTGCATACAAGTTTTAGTGGTTTGAAATTGACTACGTGGTTACAGTTTTCTATTTTGGAAATGGGAACGTATCGTAAATCATGCAGCATTTTGCTCCTTGGCAACATTTTGGCTGACTACTATTCTCAATTCTGTAAACAGGAACCATGCTTTGAAAATGGGCAAAAGCAGCAGGAAGACTCTACACAATTGTCACGAGTGTGAAGAATCTGCGAGACATGCCGGAATGCCTCAATCTTTACTTCGAATCCCTTCAACCAAGTTCGTGCCGCTTATTGAGTTTGTAATTTCTGGTGTTACCAACCACAATTATTTCTGTCCAGAATTGTCCAAAATACAATCACCCTATAAGAAAGTTGTTGGGTCAATTACAAACTTGGTTGAAGGGATTCGAAGTAAAGATTGAGGCATTCCGGCATGTCTCGCAGATTCTTCACACTCGTGACAATTGTGTAGAGTCTTCCTGCTGCTTTTGCCCATTTTCAAAGCATGGTTCCTGTTTACAGAATTGAGAATAGTAGTCAGCCAAAATGTTGCCAAGGAGCAAAATGCTGCGTGATTTACGATACGTTCCCATTTCCAAAATAGAAAACTGTAACCACGTAGTCAATTTCAAACCACTAAAACTTGTATGCAAACGAACTACATGTCTATAGTAATCCAGAAGTCCAGCTCGAGAGCTTAAACAGGCAGAGGAACACATTAAGAAACTGATACTGCTATTGTCAACCAATGACGAAACAGCCAGAATGCTCTATTTCAATCTAATGACAGGGTGTAAATTTCTGTAAAGAATATGAGCATGCTCATTTGTTGAATCATAAACCAATACCAGAAACTAGACAGAGTCATAAGTTGCATCTAGTTCCAAGTTAAAGTACAAGAATATGCTATTCTGTCTATAATGTTAGTTCTGTTCTGTCTACAGTTCTATTCTGTCTACAGTTCTATTCTGTCTACAATGTTAGTTCTATTCTGTCTACAATGTTAGTTCTATTCTGTCTACAATGTTAGTTCTATTCTGTCTACAATGTTAGTTCTATTCTATGCACAATGTTAGTTCTATTCTGTCTACAATGTTAGTTCTATTCTGTCTACAGTTCTATTCTATCTACAATGTTAGTTCTATTCTGTCTACAATGTTAGTTCTATTCTGTCTACAGTGTTAGTTCTAATATGCACAATGTTAGTTCTATTCTGTCTACAATGTTAGTTCTATTCTGTCTACAGTTCTATTCTATCTACAATGTTAGTTCTATTCTGTCTACAATGTTAGTTCTATTCTATCTACAATGTTAGTTCTATTCTGTCTATAGTATTAGTTCTAATCTACACAATGTTAGTTCTATTCTGTCCCCTTCATTTTTACTTTTCTTGAGCATCATGCACTCTTTTCTCTTGGTCATCCTCCTCCGGCCTACCATACTATGGGTTCAAAAGTGGCAGGCACAGCGACGAACTCCGGCGTAGTCGAGGGTGAGATGGGGAGCGACGGCGAGCTACCGCGACAATTATCTTTGTTCCTTATTGAAATTAATGGGATCATTCTATTTGCACTATTATATATTGTATGAATTCTGTTTAATGGGGACAAGAGGTGATGATCGCCACAATGCGCCCATGGTTTATTATCTCTACGCATGGTAGAGGAGATTAGAGAAAGAGAATATTTGTAGGGGATAGAGATTAGTTGATTCTTATTATGTATGCAGAATTTT